TTTGAAACCATTAGTGACTATCATATTTTTATTAGCGTTACGAAAACACATTTGGATTAGATTTTGAATATTCTTTATAATGAGACAGTGTTCTAGGTTGGTGAACATATCTGTCCGAAGTCCGCTGTATAAATCTTCAAACCAGGGCAGTGTATATTGCTTAATTTTTAACTGATGTTCATATTACTAATGGATCAGTAATTCCTGATAGACTTTTTTCTGATTCTTGTTATATTTGCATGTTTTGTAAAATGAGATTTGATAAAGGTAAAAATATTGTGCATTTCTTTGGCTAATGCTTTAGTACTACTCTCTCTAGCACCAGTAATACATGAATCTGAACTTTATAGGATTCTTATGTAACCTAGGTATGGCGTAAATGATCGGAATTGAAGCTTTATCAGATATTTTGAGTTTGTTGTGTATACAAAGCATTTTATGTTTAAATATGGAATTGTATTCATTGTATTAAATTGTATTCATTGTTGCATTCTATTTTATTATAGGTGTTATTTGTATCGCTGTACAGAAATTTGTTCTATTTCTGTCGTATTTCATTCCCATTTCTTGCATAATAGTCATTAAATAATATTTCATGCAAATTATCCCATAATTATTACTAGCTTTATCAAGTGGACAGAAAACGAAGTCCTCTCGATATTACATATTAGTTCATAGGGAATTGTTCCCTTAGTAGGTTCCAGTCTATTACGAGTTACTAGTGGCTTTACTTTATTATGGAATTCTGCATGGAAATATTTAGTCATTTGCCTGATTTTTTCTGTACTCATGTCATATTGTTTTTACAAAACTTGAGGATATCATGTACTATATTCATATATGTAATTTTAACCTCTAATCTACTTATTCCGTGGTCAATTCTGTATTTTGTTCCTTTTTCCAACAGATTTCTGAGTACTTCTTCCTTGATGATGCCTTGATTTCCAGTAATGATATGTCCTGAGCTTTTATCCATGAACTTTTCGAAAAATGTTTTTTGGCATAGACAATCATTGATAAGTTTATCTCTTATGGTTAGTGTTTCATCATTCAATGCCTTGAGTACTTTATTATAATTGTTAATCTTACTGGACACCGGACAGCCATACTTATATATTATTCTAATAGGAACTACTACTTTAAATCTGACTTCATTATAATTAATTATCCGTGAGATGTTTTTTTGGTTGAATATCCTATTGAAAGGAATTTCATTATAAATTCTACTTTTAAATTCTGTTACCACATTGTGACATTCTCTTTTAATACTTCTATTGGATGGATGACTATATTGAAAATGGGCTAATATATATAACACTAGAAATTTAGTTTTATTATTAACTGATTGTAAGAATTATTCTGAAACTGACAATTGTATCATTGTATTAATTTCCTTTTTACTCATTCTATTGCTCTATGGGTTTTAGGTCCTCCTCTTTATTGATTATTTCTGATATTACATCTTGACACGTAATTTTATCCTTATAAGTTCTATTTTTAGTTTTTTTGCCTTTGTTATGTCTTTTCTTCGCGATCTTAAGTGCGAAATAGGGAATGGCTTTGTTATATTTATTAGGATTGCTAATGTCGGTTATGTTACCGTATACTTTAATATTATCATTGAGGCCAAATGGCAGTGCTGTCATAGGAAGTTTAATCCAGAATAATTTTTCTCTAGCAAGATATTTCTATCATTCAAATTCAAAGCGTCCAACACCGTGACTTTTATTTCTTTCCCACATTTTTGCATATGATTATACAAGGGTGTGTTAATCTAATTCGTGAATATATTCAAAAGGTGCTCTCTTATTCTATCCTTTAGTCGTCTTGTAGTCATTCCTATATATTGTATTCCACAACGTTTACAAGTTATACAATAAATGTCATTTTTTAATTACAACAAGTATTATTATCTTTATAAGTGTTAATTTTCAAACCTGTTGCACTAGCGAAAATGTAATTGTTAGTATCTGTTATACTACAGACTGCATATTTTTTTCACATTTGCAACCCTTATTATTATTGCCAAAATCTTTTATAATGTAGTGTCCCTCCTCTAGTCCCTTACCTTCTCAAACTTATTCTCTTTGTAATAATTTGAGTCTTTATTTTTTGACCTTCATCTAAGCGTACGGGAGGTCAAGCCCATATGCAGAGAGGAGTCTCCCGAAATGGGTTCGACAGGATTGCTGCCAGGGTTTGGCAACCCTTCCATGTTCCAAAAGGAACGATTGGTACTGGAGGCCCCAAAAATTGACCCTCCATGCCACTTTTGACTTTTATGAACCCCTTCATTACCAATCCCTATTTTAACGAGAGTTATGGCCCTCTTCATGAATGGGTGAAAGATTGTAGAGCAATTGTGTCATAATTCCATTTTTAAGCAACAAAAATAAATAAAGAAAAAAACGAATAAATAAATAGAAAAATAAACGAATAAATAAAAGGAAATAATAAAAATAATCGGGAATAAAAGGTGCTATGAGGGTTGCAGATGTTTGGTGTTTGGTATGTTAATGATGATAAAGAATTATTTCTTAGAGTTTAATACTAATTGGCGATTAAATGGACGGAGTAATTGAAGAAATCTATTGTATTTTAATATATGTAGTTAAGAGTATCATGAATTCAATTATTATTTCTAGTCTAAGTGGTGTTTCAATTTCCCTTATTGTTTATTCTGTCGTACATCCCATATTAGAAAAGAATTTTGGATTAGTGGTAAATATTCACCTGTGTTGTTGATGTTCATAATAACGGTGCGTTCACATGTACCGTACCCTTAACATTATTCGCTGTGGCCTAAATTATCCCTTCTGTACGATCAGTCAGTTGCGTCATTGATCAATATATCCCATCTGCTTCATAAACGGATGCGAACGAGTATATATGGAGTCCATCTCCAGAAGGAGCGTGCACATATATGTCAGCACGCATCACGCTGCCTATATCCTCCCATTTAAATTAATGATTTCGTTTATAATTGTGTTTTTTTGTTGCGATGTCAGTTCAAATACTCCATTTTGAGCAATGTTTGCAAATCGTTAATGAATCAATTGCTTATATTGCGTAACTCCGTTTTTATATATTGGTAAATCGAATGATTCTTAACATTGCGTATTATAGATGAGTTCCGGTGTCGAAGGTAGGATTTCACCCTCGACAATTACAAAGGTGAGCATTTGATTCGATTGCAATTATTAGTTTATATCTCGTCGTTATTGATATGTTTATGAACGTTGTTGTAGGACTAATGCCATGCCTGTATCCTTATGTTACTTAATCTTTGATGGTAGACCTAAAAACTTTAATTGATATATGAATATTTCAGGTGACGGAATCGAACACTGAGATTGTGAACTCTATCTCAAATCTTTCAAGCGTAAGTCTCGTCTCTTTTTATCTACATATCACTCACATAGATGCAGCTTAGAAAATGTTTCAACTGTTAAACATCATTGTTGAGCTTATGTAATTCCATCCGAATTATAAGTAGTATGTGAATTGTAAACTGTTGGTTTTTTTAATATAGTATAATGAATATCTCTTATAAAGGGACATACAAAATTTTTTTTTAAATGCATAGTTAACAGAACTATGATTATGTTGTTTAAGTTGTTTACATTTCAAGATAATGGTATTATTAGCAATTTAGGATTCCAGTTGTTACATTTTAATAAAGTAATGCTTTTTAAGCGCGCTGGGTTCAATTACTCCGGAAACGATCAGGATAATAGGAAGGAAAAAATGCAAGAACAGATCAACAACTGTGTCACTTCTAAACAAATCAGAGTGTTGTTGATGCCCAACCTTACCAGAGCGCCCTAAAAGGAAACTAGAACGTTATATTATAAATATTAAATATTCTAAAACTATTCCATTATATTATTCTATAAAACTTATTCTGAGTATAATATATAAAACCATATAAAATACTACTTTACCCAAGGCATCATATTTACCCATACCTTGAAATGCTTCATTTCGGTGTTGTTGAATTCCAGTGTGTGTGCTCTTAGCAAATCTGGGTAGCAGTAGCAAGGTAAGGTAAGTATGATGCTTTGGTTAAAGTAGTATTTTATGTGGTTTTATATGTTATACTCAGAATAAGTTTTAGAATACTTTAATATTTGTAATATAATGTTTCATAGCTGTATTTTTTTCAGTGTTGTCGAATATTAGCTGTGCTGTTTGTCAATTAGCGTAGAGGTAAGAAGATGGTTGCATATGTGTTTAATTGTAATAATATATGTGTTGCTAAAACTGAATTGTAGTTCTAGGGTAATGTCAATCGTATACTACTATTTGTAAACTAGTTCAAGTGAACCCATCAAAAGGGTTTATAAATTAAGTGAATGGTTCGTGTTTCTATTAATTGAACTGACATAATACTTTGAAGTAACAATATTTATAATAGTAGTAGTTGTTAAGCTGTAAAATCACCTATGTTGTTCTTGTATGGTAAGTTAATTAAATTTATTATAGGTTTCCTTTGTACTTGAAATACTGAATGCTTCTATAACGGCATGAGTAAGGTAAGATTCTGTATACAGTATATAGCATCCGATATTTTTATATGTTATTGTGTTGTTTTTACGTTAGCGTATTTAAAGTTTGTTTTGTTTTGAATTTCAGTACTATTCATGTGTTTAATTAAGAATAAATATTGTTCATATAAAGATAGTAACAGTCATATAACTAAAAGGATAGTAACAAGTATATAACAGAGTATTATAGAGACCTGGTTTTATGAGAGTTGAAGGCAAATGACAGGCAGTGAATGACAATTAGAAGAAATAAGTAGGAGCCTAATGTCGAAACAATTAAGAATATTCTCGATAACTAAAGGTCCGAAAAACACTTCCGATATGATACGGTTCTTTCTGGAAAACATCGTAAAGTATGTTGGGTAATATAGTGTAATTAGTTGGTTATAATTGAAAGTAGTTCTTAAGATACCACAATGTCATGGATCCAATACCCTTACAAGGAAGGTCTATCAGGGCGTGGGACGCTTTTTGAAAATGGTTTTTTGCATGGTATAGGGGCATGAGCACAGAGTGTAAAACTATGATCCATTTCCGCTAAATGGCCTTCTGAATGCCAAAAAACGACTGAAAACGATTTTGT